CCTGTAACTATGTGGAAAACATGAGATAGAGATAGAATCTGCAGATGTGAGTCGCCAAAGGGGGAGTGTCCTATAAAACATCTGAGGTGGAACTCAGGTAAAGTGCATTCATGTTCTTGGTGTGTCAGGAACTAGCTGTGAACCTAGGGCTCATTATGCAACTCTCTGAAGCTCAGCTTTCTTCTTCATCAGTAGGAACGGTAACTAACCCCTGCCTTACTATCCCTCCCTAGCAGGTTGTTGTGAAAACCCAATGAGATCAGCATGTGAAACTGCTTGGCCAAACTGCAAGGAACTAGATAAATATATCACCATTGTTATTCCTCAGCTTTTGTCCTGCTATTCCTCAGGCCAAGATTGTAAAATGTAGCCATTTTTTAAACTCAAGCAGCAAGAAATGGCCTTTGAGATTTCTTTCTTGTTTTATTCTTCATGTGAAATGAAAGGGAACGAGACATTCAACAGCAAGTCTCAATGTGTGGTGTGTAACAAACACACCCAGCCCCACAGAGGCAGCTTCCCTGGGGCAACCTCAGAGTTTGCTCATGGGAGGGGCAAAACCAGAGGAGAAATGACAGCAGGTGTTCTTGCATTGCCATTCTTGTCCAAGCTGATCTGCTTCCCAGAGAGAAACAGCGCCATTTCCAGGACTGTCAGGCCAGCCCTCCTCTTTCGGAACCAATCACAGCCCACTCAATAAGGTATTAACCCTGTGGAGCTTTCTGTACTGCAACATACCTCCCAGTAAACGGGCTTGGGCTTAATCACTCAGCAGAGATGAGGATGCAGGTAGTACCTATATCAAACAACCTTGAGAAAGATGACGTCCAGGTACCAAAGAGAGAGGTAATTCCCCTGTAAGAGTCCCCTTTGCTAACTCATTAATGTTTCTCAGTCCCAGGAAGCCAAGTGGCATTGCAGTTAACATAACCTTGGTCTTTTGGCAGACAAGAATTGGGGTTCCTCTTCTACCCAGTAGCAGAAGTGTCCTGGTCTGAGGCTTGCTCTAATGATGTTCCTTTTTCCCATCAATGAAATGGGAAAATAAGATTTTGGGGTGTTGTGGGGGGATCTTAAAGATTAAGTGCATGGGAAACTCTCAGCACACTGCCTGACATGTAGAAAGTATGCTGAAAATGTTAAATTGTGTCTACCAGAAACCCCTTCAGGGACTCCCCAATTTGATCCCTAGAAAAACCTTGACCTGAGGTAGAAGCTGAGATCCTGAATGGATCCTGAATGGAAGTAGCCCTGTTTTATATGATGTAAGAGCAAAGTTTCACCTGTTTGCCCACACGGGAGGGAGCGAGAAAGGAAAGAGAAGACAGCTGCATGGATGAAGACCTTGCGCAGTGCAGTGACCTCTCCTCAGCGAGCCTGCCCCCAGATCTTTAGGAAGGTCAATGAACTTATGATGTTTTGTTCCAGATGCAGGTGGAGGGGTGGTTAAGGCACCGAACTTCACACCCATGCTGATGTGTGTTGGAGCCAAAGTCACAACTGTGAAAGCAGGAAGTGGACACAGAGACAAGTTTGAGGCACAAAGCTCCAGGGAGTCTCAGGAATAGGGGGAAAGTCTTTGAACCTCCCCGCCACCGAGACCACACAATAGGAATACAAATAGGAATTTGGGCTAAGTCTAATTGGATCTCAAAAAAGCAGGTGGCTTCAACTGACAACAGGGTACATCATTATTAACATCATGATCATCACCATCACTGCCATCACCAACATCATCAAATGACATTGTCTGCCTATGGGATGCAAAAAGCTGATTTTAGGCAACCAAAGCTGGGGCCCTAGAAGCTAACACATTCTTAACCAGGGCTGCATTACCTAAGAACTTCTGTTTTTTCACCTAACTGATTGTGGAAATATAAAACTACCTCTAGGCTCATTATTCCCCATCAATGAGTGTCTGTAAGTTATCCCTTGCCTTTCCTATTCTTGCCAGCCATTTTTCAGTCCAGCAGCAATGGCTTTTCCAGGGTCTGGAAGTCTCTCAGTCTCCCACTTAGGTGGCTCACTATTCCGAAGCCACTTTTCTGCACTGCAGTAAGCCCCCAGTTATAAATTACTTACCTGCTGGCCATCATTTTAATGTAAATGGATTTTAAAAAGCAGCAAAGGAATATATTTTCATTTGGAGTTAAAGCATCCATTTTTTATTTGAGCGTGAGCCTGGTCTAGGAGAGATGGCAGAAGAATGGCTCCAAGGCTAATATGGTTAATGATTATGATGGAGATCCCATGAACAGCCGATATTTCACTTACAGCCATCTCGATCCGGGCTTTGCTGGCTGCAGTACTTTCTTTTTTTCACAGCTACTTCCATTAACACCCACCGCCTATGATGGAACCATTATGATAATATCTCTGCTTTCGGCAGCCTCGATTGGTCTTGACACATTATCACCCTAAGAGCTTAGCCACGTCGCAGTAAGTCCTATTTATAATAACCTTTGGCAGGAGCCACCAAAATAAAACCTGGTACTTAAGAACTACCTTTCATCTGAGGAAATCAGAAAGCTTTATAAGCTTAATTAAGCTTCAGCATCTATCTGACTGATGAGATATGTGGGGCCTTGGAAAGCTGAGGAGGCACAGAATCACTAATTGTGCACTGGATAAATCTCTGGGCAGCAGTGAACAGAAATCAACAAAGAAGAATGAGAGTCACCTTTTTTAGCGGGAGTGTTTGTTGAGTGAAATTTTTCAGGGTGGGTTGAGACCAACAACCACAGGTTATTGATGAAGGGGCCATGGAGGGCCTCTAATGAGCAGCCTCTCAATCTAGGGAGGGTGCCTGAGATTTACTTCTTTTGCCAAAAGAGGATTAAGCTAATTCAACACACTGAAGGGCTTTCAAGGATGAAGAAATCGAGCTCCTGAAAGATGTGGTAATCTGCCTGTGGGCACATGGCTATTGAGTTCACACGTTGTTCCCTCTACTTGACTGAATCTCCCACCCCACCTGTATACCTCCACCTCCCCTTCAAGACTCATCTTTAACACCTGCCTCCTCGGTGAAGCCTTCCTGGACTTCCCCAGCAGAATCAGTCACTCCCTAGTCTATGCTCCTCCATGTGCTTTCTATTTCCATAATAGCTACAGCAATTGACATTTATTAAGTCCTTTCTAAGTGCTTAAGGTACATCTCATCCATACAATAATGAGGCAGATACAGTTACCATCTCCATTTTACAGATGAGTTAAGTAGTCCAGAGAGGCTAAGTGATTTTCCCAAGATGGTACAGCTCATAGGTGCAAGACTCAGCCTGGCTGCGGAGCACATGTTCCCAAAATTAAACCACACAACTTTCCCAGTAGCCCAGTTGTGATGGAAGAGATCTGTTTATCAGTCAGCCTCTTTCCTTAGTTCGTGAGCTCTGATGTGAAAGGGTATGTCATTTAGGAGATTTGGGGCTACAAACAAAGAAACCCCAACTCAGAGTAGCTTAAACCATAGGAAGTCTAGAGGAAGGACATTTCCAGAGTTGATTAACTTGGGGGCTTTGTGACATCAGCAAGGATCCAGGTTCTTTCCATCTTTCTACTCTGCCTTCCTGATTGTGTGAACTTAGTTCCCTTCGCATTAACATGACTTCCTCAGTTCCAGGCCTCCCATCCAGCCTTGCCATATCTTTCTTGTGTCTCTGTAAGAGTACAGATATATTTTCCAGAAACCTCCCACTGGGCTTCCCCCGTAACGTTCACTGGCCAGAATCGTCTCACATGCCTATACCTTAACCAGTCACTGCAAGGAATTGAAAGCACCATGACTGGTTTAGCCCAATCAGGATTCGGCATCCCTTAAAGGTCAAAGGCACAGAGGATGAAGGTGGAGACCTGCCAAGAAGGAGGAAAGGAAGGTGGAGGATGAAAAGAAGACAACAAACATTCCCTGATGCAGGTGTGAAGGAAGATCTGATGCCCAATCACTTATTCCTCAGTCCTTTGGCCTTTACATGTGGGCAATAAATGTCTGTTGAACTAAATTATAGTACAGAAATTCATGTTTCCAAATGCCCAGTCCAGAATTCTTACCATCATACTCTGTAATCAGGACTGAAATATGTGTTGGCAACTGCTCTAAAATTTACTAAATTGATTCACCAGTGCTCCAACCTTTAGATTCGAGTCTTTAACACTAGTGCCTGCAGGAATATTTGCAAAGTAGGTCCAAAAGAGAGTTAGGTGGAATAACGAGAATCGTAAAAATATTAGTCTCACCATAATTTACAAGGTTCGTGTCAACTATGACTTTCTTTCCAGAAACACAATATGTTCTTAAAAGTAGGACTTGTTCTAGCAGGTAGGTTAATTGCATTCAAAGATTACTCTATTTCCTGACCTCCTTCTAGCTCTCCAATAGGATTTATCTGGAACCAGGCATCAATATACCCGCCCTTGACAGCTGGGAATGTGAGAATGAGATCACTTAAACAATTTTTGGAAGACCCAGATCATAGTCAAATAGAGATACCAAGAAAAGGAAACTGATCCCCAACCAGAAACATAATGTACCCTGGGGTAGAAAAGATGGGAAGGAGGGAGTGTCTTAGTTCAGGCTTACTATAACAGAGTGCCATTGGCTGGGGTAGTTTAAACAACAAACATCTGGCCGGGCGCAGGGGCTCACACCTGTAATCCCAGCACTCCGAGAGGCCAAGGTGGGTGGATCACTTGAGACCAGGAGTTTGAGACCAGCCTGGCCAACATGGAGAAACCCCGTCTCTACCAAAAATACAAAAAAAAAAAAAAAAATTATTTGGACGTAATGGCAGTGGTACACGCCTGTAATCCCAGTTATTTGGGAGGCTGAGGCAAGAAAATCGGTGTAGGTTGCAGTGAGCCGAGATTGTGCCACTGTACTCCAGCCTGGGTGATAGAACAAGACTCTGACTCAAAAAAGAAAAAAAAATATATATATATATACACACACACACATATACATATACATATATATACATTTTTTATATATAAGTGTGTGTGTATATATATACGTGTGTGTGTGTGTGTGTGTATGGAGATTGGGAGGTCCAGGATCAAGGTGTCAGAAGACTGGGTGTCTAGTGAGGCTGCTCTTCCTGGATCATAGGCAGTGGTATTCTTTCTGGGTCCTCACATGATGAAAAGAGAGCTGGAGAGCTTATTGGGGTCTCTTTGATAAGGACACTAATCTCATTTATGAGAGCTGTACCCTCATGATTTAATTGCCTCCCAAAGACCTTACCTCCTAATGCCACCATATTGGGAGCTAGGTTCTCAACATATGAATCTATGGCATGGGGAGGAACACAAACATTCAGTCCATAACAGAGATACATAAATAATAAAATTATAGCGCAGAGGGTTAGAAAACTCCCCAGGGTCAAATAGTAGTGGCCAATGTAGGAGTCATACCACTTTAACGGAACACTATACTCATCTCTGATATCTTTTCTCCCCTCTCTTCCTTTTTGTAGAAGTATGTGGAAGGGTACATTTGTAGGCCTCTGTTTTTTCCAGGGGCTTATAACTCAGGACATCCAGAAAAGGTCAGGATTGAAGGAGGCAGAGTAGTGAGAGGAAGCCAGAAGCTGTCTGCCCGAGGCTGGCTGGAGGCTCTGGGCTTCTAACAAGAGTTACACTGGGAACCTTGGTAGAAGCCAGGTGGTCCAGATCCATGGGGAAGAAATATTGCAAAATTATCAGGAAAGATACCATTTCAGGCATAAAGCAGGTGCATTGAGCTGGAACACCACTTGTGTTAGGTCTCTCAAAACCAAGTGAGGCTTGGTAGAGGCCAGCAACAAGAGAAGAAAGACATCCCCATTTGGGCAATGAAACAGTGAACTAGAAAGGAAATAGAAAGCAAAAAGAACAACAACACCTATAATATAGTGAACACTTAGATGGTCTTTTAAGCACTTTAAATATAAGCACTAATTTAACCATCACAATAATCTATAAGATTTGTTCATATTAATTACTAGTAATCATTAGATACTGTATATTGTTATAATTTTTGTTAGTAATACTAGTAATACTATTCTTATTGCATTTTACAGATATATCCACTGAGGCACAAAGGGGTTAAGTGACGTATCCAAGGTCACATGCCTGGTAAGTGGCAGGACTGGGTTTTAAATAAAACAATCTGGCTTGACAGTTCACACTCTAAACCATTTCACTTGGGAACAAACCCCAGAGAATAGATGAAACCAAAATTTCATCTGAGTTGAATCTATTTTGATTTAATGTAATAATTTCTGCACCTGACATTTCCCTAGCAATTTATAATTTACAAAGGGTCTGGTCCCCATCATTTTGGAATCTCAGCCCTGCCACTTCCTTGCTGCATGACCTCATTCCACTGACTGGCTAAGCTTCCACTTCCCTATCTGTAAAGTGGGGATAATAATACTTGTTGGGAGGATTTCATGAGATAAAGCACATGTAGGGTTTAGCTCCACACAAAGCCCATAATAAGAGCTCAGTAAGTGTTTGCTCCCACTGTTGCTGTGGTTATTATTAATATTTCACTTGAGCTGCATGACAACCCTGTGAGTTCGGAAGGATTTATTAACTTATTTCTCAGGTTCTGAAACTGAAACTCATAGAAAGTAAATAACTAGCCCAAGGAACAAGCCAGAAAGTGCTAATGCCAGACTCGGAAAATATTCCAACTCCAAGCCTCCTCCCCTGCTTCCAACCCTCAACTCCACCTCCTCTCTTTCCCCCAGGAGGCACCATTACATGAACTAGATCATTCTTCAAACAGGACTGTGGGAAAGTTTGAAGATATTGGAAGTCCAGGCTCAGGGATAAATTCTAAGGAGAATCAAGAAAGTCATAAAGGTGCAAATAGATAGTTGCCCAAGCAACTGCCAGAGGGCAGAAGTGACTGAGGTTGCACATGGTGATTAACTATGCTACCCCATAGAGCCAAAGTGGTTTGGGCACAGGTGGCAGGGGAGTGTCCTTAGGCCAGAAAATAAAGGAGAATGGGAGTATTTTCATCTAACAGCTAAACAGAGGCATGTTTTTAAACCCTGTCTCAATCAATCAAATACCATTCCAAAACTGCATTCCACTTTGAGGAAGGGGCAGTGTTTGTTCCTTCGGTTTTCTGTATTTGTGCATTTCAATTCATTTGTTAAAGTTTCAATTAATGCATCCTGTTCTGGTACATGATGCATTCAGTCCTATGGCTATAGGCAAAGGGCTGCTCAGTGATAAAATTAGTCCATCCTATGAGGTGTACGGTCTTAGTCAACTTCTTTAAGCCTGATTTTTTTTTTTTTTAATCAGTACCAGTCATATGATTGGGAGATTCCAGGATTTCTAGTCTCTGGATTGGGAGCCAGTCCTCCCAGAATTAAAATCATGTGCTTCCCCTCACATCTGTTATGCAGAACTGTCACCGATTTTTTTCTTTTTAAAATTAATGGAAGTTCTTATTTTGTATTCTTTAATCAGTTAAACAATAACCCGCAACCCTTGGACCAAATTATTTTGTATTCTTTAGTAGTAAGGTGTTTAATTAAAAAAAAAACAAAAAAACTTGATACATGCTACTTGCAGAGCTTCATCTCATTAGCATTCTAACGATGTATTCAGCAAACTGTTGTTGAACACACACTAAGTGCCAGGCACTGTGCCCAGGCAGCCATAAAACAATGGACAAGACAGGCTCCCCAGGAAGTTTACAATGGTAGTTACTTACAGCTTTTGTTAGCTGCCACAAAGACAGAGACCCCAACTACTTTGGATTTCTCCATACCCCCTAGGACATAGCTTGGGACATAGTAAACATTTAATAGTCTTCCGAGTTTAACTTCAACAATTAATCATTCAGTTAAAAATGTATACTTTTCTCCAATTAGATGATACTCTACTTATGCCCACTAGGTGGCGATCTTGCTTATAGTTTGCTCACGCTGAAAGAGGCTGCCTTTCAAATACATACATATCCCAGTAGAAGTTAAACCAAAAGACAAAAAAATTAAATTTGCGTGCTTATTTAGTGTAATATACTATGTTAGGTGGTATAAGAAATAAAAGGTTAATAAGATGTAGTCCCTGCCTGCTAGGGAAAGACGAGGAGCTTGCACAGGGCAAAAAAATAAGACCTTTGAATGAATTAATATATTTTGATGTAACCATATGGGAGCCATAGTAATCTCATTATCAGATAAGAGTTATAAAATTGCATGATAAAGCCACCATGTGGTTGGGAACAGATTCAACAGTTCAGCCAATACGTACTTAACCACACCAGTGAAAACACTTGACCGTATCCTGGGTCAGTGCTGGAATACTCCAAATGAGGTTTTTTGATGCCTCTGTTCAGCCATAAACATAAGAGTGTCTGCTCTATCACCCTAGAACGTTTTTTCTTTGGAGAAAAAAAAACATAATCAGTGCCAGTTGATGAGGCAGTCCAGTTGAAAACCTTCATATGCACCTGATGGGGAGATGAAAGGAGAGAAAAGATACACCTTGTAAGAAAACAGATTTCAAACTCTGGCGTTTGGGAGGTGGATTCCACCACGCCCCTGAACTTGTGTCTACCCTGGGTATCTCAGTGTGGATCTGGGACTCATTCTGAGGCAGAGAGGTAAGGGAGAGGGCTGACTGGCATCCAAGAGTTTTCCTAGTAAATGTAACCCAGAGGTGACTGGAAGATGTGTTGGGGTGGAGAGGTTGTTCATTTTGTTTTGTTTGCTCCTTCACCACCTCCCCGCCCACTCTCCCCCCACCACCATTTGTTTTTCCCTTAAACCATAAAAGCAGTAAATCAAATGCAGTATGGGATGGAAGTTTTCTTTTTTTTTCTTTTCTTTTTTTTTCCTGTTCATTTGAAAACTCCTTTTAATTGAAAAATCACATTTGGGGAACAAAGTGGTCACATGACAGTGAATTTCAAACTTGAGAATGCTGACTTGATTTAAAAAAAAAATACTGATCTTTCCTGGTGGAGGGAAAATCAAGCACATGCAGCCAGGAGACCCGAGTTTGACTTTTAGTTTCACCACTTGCTAACTGTGCAATCCTGAGCAACACCCATTCCTTCTCCGTGCCTCAGTTTCCTCATGGACAAAACGATATCATTTCCTTCGAAAAGTTGTCCCTGACTCCCCTCTCCCCAACACGAGGTTGGATGGCTATAATCTCTCTTAGCAACCTGAGAGTCCCACTGGAATGTAAACTCCAGCAGCATGGGACCAGGATCTGTGGATTTTGCTGCTGGTGAGCAAAACCAGAACCGAGGGGCAATCGCTGTGTTGAACGGATGCACGAATGAATGGCAGATGGCCTAGGTGTTCAAGGGCACGTGCACAGCGAGACTTCATGCCCTGGGAGTCCCTTGGGAAAGGCAGAGGGCCAATAGTGATTGGTGCTGGTGTACGTGCTCAGAAAAGGGGGTGTCGGTTCAAAGTTGTTGGCTACAGAGGGTTCCTCTTTCCGCTGGAATCACATCCTCTGTGGCTCAGAGACATTCCCAGGGATTTACATAAAGCAGCGTGAATCACCCGGACAGACACTGAGAAAGCAAAGGAACTCTGCCTGATCCTAGCCTGGCGGCGCTCGGAGAGCGGTGGAAATTTGTCTGAAGTTTGCAGGAGACCCGGTGCTGCCTAGGCAAAGGGACCAGGCGACCACGACACCCCTACGAGGGCCCAGGGCGCGTCCCCCCCCGCCAGGCCCCAGACTCCAGCTCTGCGCCACCCCCTCCTACGCTCCGGCGCGGGCGCAGCCAGTCCGGCTTCCTCCAGGCCCCTAAGTCCCCGACCGAGTGTGGGGCCGCCTCTCCCTCTCGGAAGAAGCCATTGCCGCTTTAAGGGGAAGAGGAGGGGAAGGGGGCGGGGGAGCGGGGGGCGGGGAGCGGCGGCGGAGGAGGGGGAGGGGGATCCCCCTCGCTCCCACGTGGTCCGGGCGCCTGTGAATCGCGCCCACCGGAGGGTCTCACAGCGAAATACAAAAGCAGCTGGGAAGCGGCGGCGACGCGAGTTCCCAGCGCCGGGCGGAGCGCCGGACAGAGCCCCGCAGCGCCCCGCGGCCGCGATGGGGCCGAAGCGCCCGAAGCCCCAGAGCCCACCAACTGCCGGGCCCGCCTCGCCGCCGGGACCCGGGTGCCTGGGCTCGGCTTGAAGCGGTGGCGGCGCACCGGCACAGTCGCGAGAGCATGGGCAGGAGGATGCGGGGCGCCGCCGCCACCGCGGGGCTCTGGCTGCTGGCGCTGGGCTCGCTGCTGGTGCTGTGGGGAGGGCTCCTGCCGCCGAGGGCCGAGCTGCCCGCCTCCCGGCCGCCCGAAGACAGACTCCCACGGCGCCCGGCTCGTAGCGGCGGCCCCGCGCCCGCGCCCGCGCCTCGCTTCCCTCTGCCCCCGCCCCTGGCGTGGGACTCCCGCGGCGGCTCCCTGAAAACTTTCCGGGCGCTGCTCACCCTGGCGGCCGGCGCGGACGGCCCGCCCCGGCAGTCTCCGGGCGAGCGCAGGTGGCACGTGCCTGCCGGGCAGCCCCGGCCGGAGGAGAGCGCCGCGGTGCACGGGGGCGTCTTCTGGAGCCGCGGCCTGGAGGAGCAGGTGCCCCGGGGCTTTTCGGAGGCCCAGGCGGCGGCGTGGCTGGAGGTGGCTCGCGGCGCCCGGGTGGTGGCCCTGGAGCGCGGGGGTTGCGGGCGCAGCTCCAACCGACTGGCCCGCTTTGCCGACGGCACCCGCGCCTGCGTGCGCTACGGCATCAACCCGGAGCAGATTCAGGGCGAGGCCCTGTCCTACTACCTGGCGCGCCTGCTGGGCCTCCAGCGCCACGTGCCGCCGCTGGCACTGGCCCGGGTGGAGGCTCGGGGCGCGCAGTGGGCGCAGGTGCAGGAGGAGCTGCGCGCTGCGCACTGGACCGAGGGCAGCGTGGTGAGCCTGACGCGCTGGCTGCCCAACCTCACGGACGTGGTGGTGCCCGCGCCTTGGCGCTCGGAGGACGGCCGTCTGCGCCCCCTCCGGGACGCCGGGGGTGAGCTGGCCAACCTCAGCCAGGCGGAGCTCGTGGACCTAGTACAATGGACCGACTTAATCCTCTTCGACTACCTGACAGCCAACTTCGACCGGCTCGTAAGCAACCTCTTCAGCCTGCAATGGGACCCGCGCGTCATGCAGCGCGCCACCAGCAACCTGCACCGCGGTCCCGGCGGGGCGCTGGTCTTTCTGGACAACGAGGCGGGCTTGGTGCACGGCTACCGGGTGGCAGGCATGTGGGACAAGTATAACGAGCCGCTGTTGCAGTCAGTGTGCGTGTTCCGCGAGCGGACCGCGCGGCGCGTCCTGGAGCTGCACCGCGGACAGGACGCCGCGGCCCGGCTGCTGCGCCTCTACCGGCGCCACGAGCCTCGCTTCCCCGAGCTGGCCGCGCTCGCCGACCCCCACGCTCAGCTGCTACAGCGCCGCCTCGACTTCCTCGCCAAGCACATTTTGCACTGTAAGGCCAAGTACGGCCACCGGTCTGGGACTTAGTGTCACCCGGAGGAAAAGAGACCTGGGGCTGGGGTATGGATGATGGGGGGAAGGGCCGTCGCCTCTGCCACTGTCGGGGACCAGCCAGCCAACGCCCACCCGCAAAGGTGTCTAAAAACTTAAGCTCTTCACCCACCTGCCCCTTTCTTTCAATCCCACGCTGTTTCCTTTCAAAGTTCTGGGAGGACGAACTCACCGAGGCGAGAAGTGTAACATTCCCTCCACCCAGCTTATAAAAGGATTCTTTCCTGTGCCAGCACGGAGATTGGATCCGAAGAAACTGGCTACTGGGGTTTGGCCCCCGAGTGGCCGTCCCTGTGGGAGATGTACCCCATTCTTGGGCCCCCCTCATTCCCTTTCCGAAAAAGGAAAACTTCCGTTTGAGCCGTTGAGCTAATTCTGCAATTTTCTACCAAACACAGCGCTGGTGGCCCCGGAGCAGGGCTGTGACATTGGCTGGTGGAGCCCCCTTCCTGTGTTCTCCCTTTGTTCCAGCGCCGCGATGGTGAGATCACTGTTCCAAGCAGGGGGACGGCTCCCGATAGGACAAAGAGAGCAGGACCTCCAGACTCTGGGGAGCCCTGCAGACCTTGACAATTTGCCTGACTCATTCCTGACCTCTTGTCATTTTGGCCTGAAGGCTACAAATTCAGGGCCAGCTGTATGCACTAAGTCAAATATAATGAATTTCTTCTTCCTCCCACTCCCAACCGACCAAAATTTTGACAATGATGATGTTCACCAGAAGGAAAAAAAAAATCAGTTTTATGCACTTTATTTTGTTTTTATTTTAATTTTTTATTAAGAAAAACTTTTTATTTTACAGAATTTACCTTCTCTGTATATATGTGCATAAAGTGTGTAAATATACTAAACAAACTTATATTTCAATAAAAGGGGGTTTAAAATTTATAATTTAATTACTGTGGTTTTAACTTGTTTGATATTTCTGATGCCCCATCTGCTTTCAGAATAAGATTTAGGTTTTCTTTCTTGTGGATGTGCTTTTAAAACAAAGGATGCATATCCATTCCAGTTGTGACTACGGAACTTACGGAATTGAACAAAGATAAGAGCAGACTCCCTGTCCTCACTCAGATGAACCTTGAACAAAGATAAGAGCAGACTCCCTGTCCTCACTCAGATGAACCTTGGTGCTAGAAATTTGAGTTCAGCCTAGAATGTGGGGGGAGATGGGGAGAGAGATGGGAGGAAAGTGTTCTATTTCCTGGCAAATAAAACTTTGATATGGAAGGATTTCACTGTAATATATTCCTATATTAATCATTTGGCAAATATGATAGAACCAGATGTGGGGACTAAAGTATGACAAACACTGCCCTTTTTAAACTTAACTACAGTCGTCACATGTTGCAAATTATTTTCAGCATTGTAATTACAGTGCATTGCAATGTGTACAGATAATAAGCTGAGCCCACATTGGGAATGGGTAGAGAAAGTCATAAATTAATTCTTCTCTTTAATCTCCTGGCATAAATTCCAATGGATTCAGAAGATCATAATCTCCAACATCTGGATTCATCCAGTTCTCTGAAGAGGTTGTACTGTTTTCCGGGTACTAACTGCATGGTCTCCTCAGAGCAGCCAGTGTGAGACCATGAAGGCTTACAGTACTTTGTGTATGACATTTGGACCCTTTTTAGGACTTCAAACAAACTATTTTTGGATTTTTAACTCAAGAGGAAGAGGTTGACTTTTATTTTACAGCCCTTGGTGTTTTATTTTGGCATTTTCTTTGGTATCTGGGCCCAAGTGACCTTGCCTGTTGGCTTCTTTTTATTTAATGACCTTTAACTCAAATCATCTTTTGGTTAAAACTTTAATAGTTTTTTATTTGACTTGCATTTGTAAAACTAGGGTTTTATAGACTCAGAAAGCTATTAAATCTCTGTGGGTTCCCCTTCTCTGCATTACAACGGAGTGTGTAATTTAACTATGTAATGTCATCCTTATGTTTTCAGTGCCTTTTGCTAAGCCAAATCTTAGCCTTAAAAAAAAAAAAATAGTCCTGAAACTATCTGTGGTGTAAGTCAAGTGTTTGCACAGTACAGCCATAGAATGTACTGATAATGGGAAATTTATCTTTTTTCAAGACATTGTTAATGGGATACCTCTCATAATTACACCTTTCAGAAAGAAACATTTTCTATTTCTGGTGCTTATTTCACTGTTAGATTTGCTGCTTTCGTTAATGGAGGCTGTTCCAAGAACGGGACAAGTATTCAGCAACCTGCATTTTTACCCAACATATTCATGGAGGAAGACAATGAGCAGTAATAAGTTAGAAGTTTCACAGATTGCACAGGAAATGCATCCTGGCTCCCACGAAGATTCAGCACTGGTGAGTTCTGGGCCAGCCGCATTCTCCACATTCTTTCTAAACTTCAGTTCCAAGCCCAGACTTGATCGTGGTTAACCCAGAGCAAAACACTAAGCATAATTTAAATGGCTCTTCTCAGATTCTTTAGTGAACCGTGTCTGCTTGTTCAAGAAATAAGTTTAATTACATGGTGGAGTTGTTAATGGAACCAAGGCGTAACTACAGAGTGGGTTTTAACTGTTGCTGTTCCTCATGGATAATAGGTAGGCTGTGGCATGGAAAGATCAATTAAAGTTTCGCCATGGTCAGTGAATGCTGCTAGGGACAAATTTCTCAAATGAACAACAACAACAACAACAACAAAAAAAAAAACTTTCAGACCACAGCATGATTTGGAAAGAGTAATGGGTTCTACAGGCAGACAATATTCTGAATTCTGTTCCTTACCTACCTTCAGCAAGTCATTTAACTTAGTTCCCTCATCTGTGAAATGGAGATTCGATCAGAATATTGTGTGATTTAAATATTAACATATAAAACATACAAGCACATACAGGTGCTTACAAAAACAAAAAAAATCCTCACTTCCTGTTCCTCTTTAAAAAAAAACAAAAAAACAAAAAACTTTTGCCCTTCTTACACTTCAGTAATTTCCATCATCAAACCCAAATCTGGCTGTTTCCAAGGTCGGTATCAGTTTTAAACATGTGGTAGTAAATTAATTCAACAAATTGTTTACTAAGGACCCTCTTCCAGCACTATGCAAGGCACTGGTGCATAAGGTCAAGGGCACAGGTCCACTTGGGTTTGAGTGGGTGACTTCAGGACCCAAGCAGACTTCGGCACCAAGGCAGCTATACTACAAATATATGACGGTGGCTTAAATTTAAAAAAAAAAAAAAAAAAGCAGATGGCTTATTGCAAATCCATCACCACTTCTGGAAAGCTTCAAGAAGTGATGAATCTTTGCAAGAACAACCCTCTTCCCTATTCCTTCTGCCAAGAGAAAGTAGGCAGTTGACCTTTTCTCCCTGGATTTGACTTTTGATTAATTTGCTTTGTCAATGACATAGTTCTAAACTCTATTAAGTGTACTCACCCTCCTGTCTTCGAATCAGAAAGAAAAACAAATTATTTTAACACATCTCAATGCTTCTCAACCTTCTGCCTACAATTGCAGCTAGGAGAGTCCTCTAAGACCTTGAGGTTGATTATGTGGATTAAATGAGTAAATATTTATAATATTGTCAGAATAGTGCCTGGCACACAGCAAATGCAATATAAGTATTTATTGGTGAGGTAGAACATTTCTCCTCTAACTCAAAAACAGGCACCTTACGTTCCAGACATGATCCTCTTTCATAATCCTGTTCTATCTCTGCAGTTATAGAACACGATCTACACACTTCTATTTTGACCCAGGAAAACCAACTAGAGTGCTTGAGTTTGGCAGGAATTACCCAGAGCCCACAGCTGTCAGCTAGCTGTCTTGTTTCTGAGCATGCCATCTAAGTGAGTAGTCATATGTACTTCCCTCTTTTTCACAAGGAGGCTGTAATTCTATTCCTCATGTGGCTCATCAGCTCCAGGGAGCAGTGAGCTGTGGAACTCCAAATCTTGTGAGCTACCATGAGCTATCCATGAGTCATGGATCATCCAAGCCTAAGCGCTGATATTTTGCCCCTGCGCACGCCAGCCCGCATCACACAAAATCGCTGATCCCAAGTGGTAGAAGGGCTGTGGGAATGCTAGAGATGGAGAAAAGGAAATTCAGAGCATAGGAAATGCTCCAAAAGAGAATATAATGTCAGCTGCCAAGGCAGTATGGAAATCAAAGGACAAGGGTTGACGTCCACCTTCAAGCATATTTTAGGCATTAGAGTCTAATGGAAAGGATACTGAGAGACAGGAGACCTGGGCTACTTCTGACACACTGTCTGACTTGAGAAAGTCATTTGCCCCTCTGGCTTCAGTTATCTTCCCTGCAATGGGAAGGTATTTGATTAGGCTGATAATTTCCAATATTTTGGACCAGAACTCACAGTAAGACACACATATTTTATATTGTGACCTCTGTTAGACAGAGAGACACACACACCCATACACTGAAACAAAAGTTTCACAAAACAGTATGTATAACATACTTTTTCTCTTTCGTTGAATGTTATTCTAGTCCTTCTCCTCCTCTATTTCCTAACGCTAACTGTGGCCCTCTAAATTGATTTCATAAGTCATCGGTGGGGCACAGGCTGCTGCACTATGCAAAACACTGGATTAGATCATCACCGTAGGCTCCCTTTCAGCTCTAAGATTCTAGGGAAATTCCATTTATAACCAGATTACTACCTACTACAATATTTCCCCAAAGGCAGTACAAACAGACTTCAATTTTGTACACTCTTTAAAAACAAAAGACTGTAGTGCTTTATTTCAAAATGTCATTGGGAGAACTGCTCAAAATCTTACATAGGGTCTTTCTATAAATACTTGAAAAATTCCCTAAATATAGGAGGTGACTTTCCATCTGTTCCAACCTTGTGTGAGCAAATAGTGCTTTGAAGCAAAAATAATAATAATAATAATCTTTTGCATCTCTGTCTCAACATGGCCCAAGGATGACTCAAGAGGACAGTTTCTCTTCTGTGTATTCATAAAGATCAGATGTAGGAGTCATAATTTTTTAATGTGACTGTTTTACCAGTTTCTCTTTCTGTGTCCTGCTGTGGGGGAAACTGCATTAATAAACTATGTCTTAATGCTGCCTAGCTAGAATTTTTTTCTCTGCAGGACTCCACTAAATATAGCTAAAGGAATGCTCATTTTATTTATCTTTCCAACTTTCTTTCCATTTTGAATATGTCTTCTTGACACTTTGGAAAATTTTCTCCTAATGGCACCTTAGTGTTTCTTTGTTTTTTTGTTTTTTTGGAGAATAGAGAACTAATTGTTCATTGAGAAACAACAACAAAAAGAACTCCTTTTTTCTCTTTCATCTGTGCCATATGGAGTCTTTTATGGTTTTATCAGTTATTTTACACTATATGCAGAAAAATAATGTAGAACTGGCATTTTTCCAGTACCAAGTCACGGATTTTACTTTGCTGAGAAATTGTGTTAAAAAATAGAGAGGTGTCACTTTTAATTAGATAGCCCTACACCATGCATTTGTCTTTGCCTCTTTACACCTTCCTCATGGTGATTTTTTTCCTTTTAATATCCATTAAAGACTTTGTCCTCACCTCACAACTGGCCTGGAAAGGCAAAGTGACTGGGGAATGATTAGTCATGACCTCTTTTTTTCTTCTTTGTGGTAAATATACATAACATGAAATTTTTTTTTTTTTTTTTTTTTGTAGACGAAGTCTCGCTCCAGGCTGGAGTACAGTAGCGTGATGTCAGTTCAGTGCAACCTCTGCTTCCCGGGTTCAAATGATTCTCTTGCCTCAGCCTCCTGACTAGCTAGGATTACAGGCATGCACCACCATGCCTAGCTAATTTTTGTATTTTTTTGTACAGACTGGGTTTCACCATGTGGGCCAGGCTGGTCTCGAACTCTTGGCCTCAAGTGATCTGCCTACC